CCCTACCACCAACTCCCAAAATAGTGAAAAATTAGTGAAGTCAAAAATATTTTTAAAAAATCATAAATAGTGAATTCAAAAAATATTGAAAAAAATATAAACAGTGAACTCTAAAAATAGTAAATTTTAATAGAATGAAATTTCTAATTCACAAAACTTTCACAAATAGTTAACATTAATGAAATGCAACACCTACTTCACTGTGAACTCTGACACAATGAACTCAAATAGTGAACTAAACATAATGAACAACAGAATGAGATTTCTAGTTCACAAAATTTTCATAAATAGTGAACTTAAATAGAATGAAACTTCTAGTTTATTGAGAACTCAAACAGTGAACTAATATACTGAATAACCAGCATCTTCACCACCCACTATCGCCATCCAAAATTCATCTACCAAAATAGTGAAAAACTATTGAACTAAAATGTGTGAAAAGAAGCATAAAAAAGTGAATTTTAATAAAATAAAACTTCTAACTCACAAACAGTGAATTTTAATAGGATAAAACTCTTAGTGCACTATTTAAAATTTTTACAAACAATACTAAAATTTTGAATTGAAAAATATATATATAAAATAGTAAATTCAAAAAATATTGTGAAACAAGAATAGGAATTTCGAAAATAGTTATTTTAATATAATGAAACTCTTAGTTTCAAAAATTTTCACAAATAATGAATTTTAATAGAATGAAATTCCTAATTTACTATTCAAAATTTTTACAAATAGCTACAAAAATATTGAAAAAATAAATAAACAATGAATTTTAATAGAATGACACTCTTAGTTAAAAAGTTTTGCACAAATAATGAACTTTAGTAGATTGAAACTCTTAATTCACTGTACAAATTTTTCACAAACAGTGAAAAAAGAAAATTTGAATTGAAACATATATATAATAGTGAGCTTAAAATATATTGAAAAAAACATAAACGGTAAACTCTAAAAATAGTGAATTTTAATAAAATGAAACTTAGTTTAAAAAACTTAGTTCAAAAATTTTGTGCAAAAAGTGAACTACAAAAATATTGAAAATTTGAATGGAGAAATATATATCTAAAACATTAAACTCAAAAAATATTAAAAAAAAAAAAAATGAACTCCAAAAATAGTTAACTTAATTTAATAAAATGAAACTCTTAGTTAACATAATTTTCACAGACAGTGAATTTTAATATAATGAAACTTCTAATTCATTGTGAACTCAAAAATAGTGAACTAAACATAGTAAACACAAATAAATTGTACTTAATTAATAAAATTTACTAGATTTTAATAACTTAATTAAGACATTTTCATTTGTATTAAGATATATATATATAAAACAGTGAACTCAAAAATGTTAGAAAAATATAAATAGTGAACTCAAGATTGTGAACTAAAAACAGTCTCTCTCTCTCTCTCTCTCTCTCTCTCTCTCTCTCAATGAATATGTATTTCGTTATATATAACTAGGGATAATTCATGCCTGAAGGCACGGTGCAACATAAATCAACCAATTAATTTAAAAAAGTGATGAGTAAAGATTTATGAGAATAGTGGCAGAGCCAAATATATGATTTAAGGAGGACACACTTTAAGTATAATAGATAAAAATAGTGTGATATATTTATATTTTTTTATATTAGATTTGATACTTAAAAATTCATTAAACATAAAAAAGGTCTATTTGAAAAAAATTAATAAGATAATATCTATACATTAAGGATCAATAATATAATTTATTTGATACAAATAAAAATAATATTCTATAATTTTTAATCTTTTTATAAATTCTATATTTTACTCATTTTTAGCTATATATTCTATAATTTTTGAACCAAAGGAGATTTCAACAAATCATACCAATATTTAAGAAATCAATTTTAGTTTATTAATTTTAAGAGATTTGGTATGAACCTTTTGTTTTTGCTTTTTTGTTCTAGTATCCAACTTGTTTGATCCAATGAATTTTATTTTTCATAAATCATTACAGTGAGCCAAATAATCTAAAAAAATATATAAAACATATATAATTAAAAAATATATTTTTTTCAAGGTGCCCCCTGGCCCTCCTCCCTCCGCCACTGCTAGACAAAGAGAGTGAAGAGTGAGAAGAGAAAGGTAATATAAATGGTATTGAGAGAGATGTTGGTGGCTGTTAGATAAATTTATTTGAGACCGTCGGATGAGCTTGTTGAACTTGTTTTATATTATAGAATCCTCAGAATATAATAGAACTAACTTAAAAAAAATAATTTATATACATGTAATCAAAATCGAATGTTAATTTATATACATATAATCAAATCAAAATCGAATGTTAATTTATATACATATAATCAAAACGAGTCAAATTTAATAAAAACTAAAAATCTAATTTATCAAAAAGCATATCGCCAAAATATTTTCTATCAAAAAAAAGATCTACAAATATTATTTATAAAATATTATTTTTTTAATTAGTACAAGTTAATACAAAATTATTAATTTATAAAAATATATTAGCGTTGAGTTTTCTTAAGAGATAAAAGAAATAGTGTTGAATTTTTGATCCAAGACATGTGTAAGACATGTTAGTTTGAGATAATTAATTAAATAAATAAAATTAAGTGAATTATATTCAATATAAATGTGTTAAGCAGCGCTTTTTTTTTTTTTTAATGTTAAATTGATGAATTCTTTTTAATCAAAATATTATTATTGTCCCTTATACAAATTTAAAATGTTACACTACATAGTTGATATTAATGACAAATTTGAACCATTTAATTATTATGTTAGAGAAAATCTTGTGATCCAAGTCAGCCATAATCTTTGACTGGTTGAGAAGGAAAATGTTGAGAAAATGTTAATTTTTTGACCGTTGAATGAATAAATTTAAGACCGTAAGATGTGTTCCAAGATCAACCGTAATTGTTGATCGGCTGGGAGGGAAAATATTAAGGAAATAATGGTAATTTCTTGACCATTTCATAAATGAATTTGAGACCATAGAATGGACTTGTAGAAATCACCCTGTTTTTTTATTATAGATATAGATTTGACTCAAAATTTTCTTAATTATATATAAATCCCATATTTTACTGATTTGGCTATGTATTCCATATTTTTTGAATCAAATGAGACTTCAACAAATCATACCAATACTCTAAATAATCAATTTTAGTTTGCTAATTTTAAGAGATTGGTTTGAACTTTTTGTTTTTATTTTTTTGTTTTAGTACCCAACTTGTTTGACCTAATTAATTTTGTTTTTCATAAATCATTGCAGTGAGCCCAATTAATCCAAATATATATATAAAACTTATATAACTAAAAAAATATATATATTTTTTCAGGTGACCCAGATCCCTTTTCCTCTGCCACTACTAGAGAGAGAGAGTGAAGAGTAAGAAGAGGAGAATAAAATTCAATATGAATAGTTTTGAAGAGAGATTTTGATGGCCGTTGGATGAATGAATTTTAGACCGTATGATAGGCCTGTTGAAGCGGACCTATTTTATATTATGGATATTATAGATAAATCCACAAAATATGATAAAATTGACTTAAAATAAATGTTAATTTATATACATATAATCAAAATCGAGTTAAATTTAATACAAACTAAAAATTTAATTTATCAAAAAGCATATCAGAAAAATATTTTCTATCAAAAAAAGATTTACAAATATCATTTATAAAATAATTTTTTTAATCAGTACAAGCTATTATAAAATTATTAATTTAAAAGAATATATTAGTGTTGGGTTTCCTTAAGATATAAAAAAAATTAGTCTTGAATTTTTGATTCAAGATATGTATAAGACATGTTAGTTTGAGATAATTAATTAAATAAATAAAATTAAAATTAATTATATTCAATATAAATGTGTTAAACAATGCTCTTGTTTTTGTTTTATCTTAAATTGATGAGTTTTTTTAAATCAAAATGTTATTATTGTATTTTATACAAATTCAAAATGTTACACTACACAGATGATGTTAATGGCAAATTTGACCAATTTAATTATTATGTCGGAGAAAAGTATGTGTTCCAAGATCAGTCGTAATCGTTCACTGGTTGAGAGGAAAAATATTAAAAAAAAATGTTAATTTATTTACCGTTGGATGAATGAATTTGAGACCGTAAGATATGTTCAAAATTAGCTATAATTGTTGACTTTTTAAGGGGCAAATATTAAGTAAAAAAATTATAATTTTTTTACCGTTAGATGAATGAATTTGAGATCGTAAGATGTGTTCCAAGATCAGCCGTAATCGTTGACTTTTTGGGAGATAAAATATTATGGAAAAAATTATAGTTTCTTAACCGTTGGATGAATAAATTTGAGACATTATGATCAACTTGTTGAAGTCGCTCTGTTTTATATTATAGATTATAGAATTGATCTTTAAAAATTATATTTTTTATGATCAACCATAATTTTTGAAAATTATAACATTAATTTGTTTAAATTATAATTTTTTGGTCAATCATATGAGTTTGAATTATAATTTAAACACTTGAAAATTTATAATTTCAAATTTAATACCACCTATGATTTTAATCAAAAACAAAAAGGATAGGGTTATATTTTTCATTTCGCCTCAAACACTCATTCTGTTTTATGAAAAGAAAACCACTTATCTCTCTCACAACAAATTGAAAATCTTAAAAAACTCGTCGGCGTTCTCATTACAAACTTTAAATTCTCTTAACCTTCAGATCTTATTTGTATAATTTGAAAATGGCGAGCTTCGTTCACATGAATTGTAAATTGTATGAAGAGATATATTTTCCCAAGTAGCATAACTATAATTGACAATTGTCGATATTTGATCTTTTTTAATGCACCATCTTATAAATATAACTGAGAGATATGGACAAACAGAAAGAAAGAAAAGTCTTTATTTGTGATAAGTAACTCTGTGTTGAGCTTGAGTAAGGCAAGTCCAGCATCTTTTAGAAATCAAATCCGTGCACACATTCTAGAAGATACCCCCACCACTAACCTCCACCGCCTTCAACCTCAATAATTCAGCTCTTCCACCAACCCCTTCATGCAAATTTCCAACTCCATCGGGATTCGAGAGCGAGAGCAACGGAAGGTAGAAATCTCCGGAAATCGAGCTCTCACTAACTCCCTGTTTGGAGGAAAAATAGGAAGGAGGAAAAATAAGAAGGATAAAAAATGGAAGAAAGAAAATGGAAGGGAAGGAAAATCTTTTTATTGTTTGGTATGGAGGAAAAATGGGAGGAAATGAAAAATGGAAGGGAAATGCTTTCCCTTGAGCCCACAAAACATTTTCCCCCCAAAAATGGAGCAAAGATGAGCATTTTTTGTGAATTAACTATTTTACTCACCACTTTCTTTAATTATATAATTTTTAGTATTTACCACATAATATAATTAGAACTTAACTTATTAAGTTTGCTTTTGTATATATAATGGAAGATTTAATAATTAAATGTACAAAATGAAAAAAAATACATATACTTTCTAGTTAGATACACCTTAAATAATTAAATGAAGAATTTCTTTATAAGTAAATTTTATTTTTGATTTTATTTCAATAAATGATACAATAAAACATGAATTTTGGTTGTAAAATTTGAAATATTTAATATTTAATATTTGATTTGAGTATTTTTGGTGTAAGTATAATATTTTAAACTTAAAAAAAATTTAAATATTTGATACTTACAGACTTTAGGGGTTTAAATATTATATACTTATAAAAAAAAATCATGCATTTTGGTGTATTTTCTTTAATTTTATTCATGCAATTAGATGTGAGGGTATAATGGTAAGTTTAGTATATATATTTTTCCATTCTCTCCGATACCAAACAAAAGAAAATACATCCCTTCAATTTTCTATCCATCATACTAAACAAAATGAGGAAAAATATATTTCTTTTCAACTTTTTATCCTTTTAATTTTTCATTCTTCTTATCAAACGTACCATAAAGGTACTCCCACTCGACTACCTCTGCAAACGGATCGACGCCGGAAACACTGTGTTCCGATCCGACACTGCAGCTGAACTGCCCGATGATCGGTCAAGTCCAAATCGAATCCTTGTCTGCCTTCTGTTTATTTTTCTCGCCAGAGACTCGTGGAATGGAACTCCTCCACCGCCTGTGAACTTCAGCAGCTTGAGTGAGTAAACAAGTTCGGTGGTCATTAAAGTTAAAAGAGCGATTCTAGCGGGAGTTTATTTTAAGATTTTGCTTAGGGATGTAATGATATTATTTTAATAAAATTATTAGATTAATTGTGAATTTTAATGTTAAATAAAATTTATAATCAATTCAATAATTGTACATCTTTAAATCCTTAAATAAGATTTCAATAATATTTTTCAAATAAAAAAATTAAGTTAGAGATGAGCAAAAAATAAAAAAGACATCTGACATGGCAGCAGATTAGCTACAAGGCAGGGAGTTGGGTTCTGTCGCATGGATGCCCAGCCGACCCCCTAACTCGGTGATCGGTTGTCTATTTACTCAATCTAACCTAACAGATAATATGATTTTAAATCAATTTTAAAAAGTCTTTCTGGTTGCCAGTCAAATTCCTCGTTTAAACCTCAGAAACAATAGCTTTTTTTTTAGGTTTCTTTCAATATCTTTCTACGAGCATAATTATATGCATACCTTGGAGGTTAAGTAAATGGCTAAAGTCAAATAAGGTGGCTGGTTAGCATACAAACCATTACTATTGGTTGAAAGTGTCAACGAAGCGAGAGGCATGACTCATTAACGTGGCCGCATGAGCTCCAACCAAAATACTGACCCATTAACGTGGCCAGGTTAGTAGCCAAAAGATTAATTTGTTGTTTTTGAATAAAAGATTAGGGTCCATGGATCTCAAATTCTAACAGCATCACGGCCCCAGCCTCCGAGAAATTAAATTGTCTTTGCATGAATGAACGGTGACCTTGGAGCTTTGGTAATTGTATATTTTCTTCATCCACCATAATCATTGTTCAAATTATTCTTTCTTTCTTTCCTTTTTTTTTTTTTTAAATTTTACCTTCAACACGAAATTTATTTTGCAAGTATGATTTAAATTTGTTAAGTATGATTTAAATTGATAGTTGACTTAAATTCGTTATGATTTAATGATTGAGAGAAGATTTAATGAAAAAAGTTATAATGGATTAACTTTCTTTCTAATCCATTGCTCCAGTATGCAATTTGAGTGGATCAATCCGAATTCAACTAGAAAAAATTGGAACAAAGTATAACATGGGATCTTTTTTGTCAATAGATTCAGACGTGATATTTTTTGATTATTAAGAACATATGTTATGTATTTTTTTGTAAGTAGGTCCAGCAGTTTATTTTCTTCTTTTTCTATTTCCCATTTTATCTTCTCGTGTATCATACGTCTCTTTTTCTCTCCCTTTTGGTGCCAAGAAGATCACTTTTCTCTGTGTCTCTCTCTCTTACTATTCATTTAATCTATGCAAACTCTCCTCGCCTTGGCTTTCGATCATTATTCAGTTGGTGTTTTTTGGTTTACGTGTTGTTCTAGGGTTTCCTATAGATCAATCTCATCGACAACTATTTCTGGCAAATTGGAAAAGGAGAAAAAAATGGCAATCAACAACAATAAAGCCGAACCGAAGACAGGTCCTCAAGTCGATCAATGGTACAATCTAACCTAGGTTCTTCCTTCAAAGATTATCACCCTTCCTCCAAGTTCTACACTTACCGTTTTCTCTCTCCTAAAATTATAAATAATTAACTTTTAATACGACACTTACGCTCATATTATTGTCTAATTTTGTAGAATTTTGATAATGATGGTGACTGTTACTGTGATTATGTTGTTGTCTAGTTCACAACCACTATAAGCTTTAACCCTGCCACCTTCTATAGCACCTCAATTTTTAGCCATCACCCCTTACACTCCATCCACTATAATCATTGTTCAAATTATTCTTTCTTTCTTTCCTTTTTTTTTTTTAAATTTTACCTTCAACACGAAATTTATTTTGCAAGTGTGCGTGCAAGATCCTGCACAATATAAAAAACGAGAACATATCTCTCCCTTGGCGAACTCGAGTGAGCCGGTTGAGTGACCAAACACGTTGTTTGGGACAGCCTGCAAGGTACGGTGGTAACCTGGAACGACAACGGGAGACCCTGGGAAAGGAATGACGGTTCTGTATGGCTGGAAGAGGTTCCTGGAACAAAGAAGAACAAATTAGAAGGGCGCCGGAGTGTTTTCCGGCGTATTCCCTCCGACGATCTAGTCAATCTTTGAGAGAGAGAGAGAGGATAGAGAAAACACTGTGTGCGTATTGTTGTAGAGAGTTTGTTGTTACATACCCGCTTTGCCTTTTGCAAGGAGTATTTATACCTTAAAAGCTCATGATTGCTGTCAGTGTCGTCAGTAGGTGATTATTAGGCTCAGGTAGCGTGTGCATTGATTCTGATGAGGAATGTCTTCTCTAATTAACTGCTCGGGATCCCGAACAATCAATGCTGAATCATCGGGATGCCGACGGTACAATATGCTCCTCTCGGGGAAGATGCAATAAATGCTCTGTAATAGGAGTATTTATTGCCTTTCATTTCCGAGACTTACCGCATTGAATGCGGTCTCATCAAGGGAATGGTGCAATTAATTGTTTGCTTTCCCAAGTCGTGTGTCAGCAACAACATGCGGTTTGTCTGTTTTTGATGTGATATCATATGCCACGCGTCCATCCCCTATTGGCTGTGACCTCTGTATTCCAGTACGTTCTGACATTACTTGTGTAAGACGAGGTCATGATGAATAGCCTAGGCTAATGACCTGTACGTCAATAGCCTATCCTGGAGTAGAGGAAGCGTCCAGGATGGGGTACCTCTCGGCACCGAGGAAAGGCTCATCTCGGGGACCGAGGGGAGATATGCCGACCGAGGTACATATCAGACCGAGGCCACGTGTCGGTTGTAAAACATACTGAATGTATGATCTTATATGACGAGTACCTCGGGGGAGAGGACCTGGTGCGCCGATGGTGCTTGATCTTAGCAAGTGTTTTAGTAAAACCGAGGACACGTGTCTTCATCATAGGGTTATTTTAGAAAAGTCCCATCAACTGCCCCCCAGCCTTCGATCTTCTGACACCGAGGACATGCGTCGTAAGAAGACGAAGGGTTTCCCAACAACCACCTGTACTTCATAATTGTCTCGAGCCGCTTTCCCCGGCTTGGGATGTCGTGCGCATTAAATGCGCCGTTTCGTTTTTCGCGCCCAATGATGAAAATCGCCTCTATATAAAGGGGGCTCCTCTTTCGTTTTACTTATTTTGCCATTTCGAACTTCCTTAAGAGAGCTTCTTCTTGAATCTTCGCCGGAGTTTTGTTTCTTCTTCCATCGTCGACTGCCTATTCTTCCTTAAAATCTTAAAGCCAGCAGACCTATCATTAAGATTTCCCAGAAAAAAACCTCCGTTTTGACATTCGGGTGAGTTTCAGAATCCCCTTTCTTTTCTTCCTCCTAGCTTTTTGTTTTCCGATTGACCGGATGTGTCATCCGGTTGATACATAGCGATTTAACCCTCGGGAAACTTCCTCAGGGATTTTCAGGAACCAGTACCCTCTTCTTTCTCACTTTATTTAGAGATGCCTCGTCGTCGCCCTGCTTCCGAGAATCCTCAAGCCGGTTCTTCGGGATCGGGGAAGTATAAGGTAAAGGGCGATGAGCAGATCAATAGGTTTAGGGCCAAGTACGGCATTCCCCCGTGCGCAGACATAGAGGATTATGACCTAGTACTGCACTCTTCTACCCTCGGGGCTGAGGATTCCATGCCCTTCTATACTAAGGCCATAATAGAGGGTGGAATTAGGTTTCCTTTACCCCCTTTGCTTCTTCAGTTCTTTTCTTACTTCCGCCTCTTCCCTGGGCAATGTTGCCTTAATGTCTTCCGAATAATCATGGGGGTCTAAGAGCTCAATAGGCGCCTCGGGGTAAATATTGGGCTCAACGATCTCCTTTTTTGATATTCCCTCCTGAGAGTCATGCCTCACCAACACTTCTACCTCAAAGCTAGGGACCCCTCCATGTACTTTGTAACCCATCTTCCTGACTCGGACAAGGGGTACAAGGATGATATCCTTATCTTCAAGGGATCTTGGCAGAGAGGTGTTGGTCCCGAGTATAATCACTTGTTATGCCCTCTGGAATGGAGAACGACAAGTACGTCGGTTCCTTTGGGTTTATCATTTCTTTCCCCAGACTTCCTATGCTCATGACAACTTTTTTGTTTGTGCAGATATTCCTGCTCGGGAAACAGCTCCTCCCCCTCGGTCGCTGGTGAACTTTGCCGACCTAACCACAGTTTGGAGATTCACGGGTGACGACGGGTTTGGCCGAGCTGCCCACGTCCTGCTGAACTATACCCCAGGGTATAAGAAATTTTCTCAGCTTCCTCAGCCTTTTGATCCTTCGCGGTGGTCTGAACTCTTCGATCAAGCGGCGAGGTTAGAGGTTGAGGAAAACTTGGTGGAAGACCCGGATCGGGCTTCGGAGGCAGAGATAGAGGGAGTTGCTGAAGAGCTCGGGGTCAGAGAGGACGTTGTTCCTTCGGACGCCGAGGTGGGGACTTCGGGGGAAGACTTGTGGCCCGACTTTCAAGTTCTTCAATCTCTGGACGCCGAGGACGCGCTTGAGGTCGCGATGTCCAACACTCCTCGCATCGACCTCGGGTTCCTAAGGCAGAGGCAAGACCTTGCTGCCGGGAAAGGTCGAGGAACGACCGGCGGCACCCCCTCTGCAGGGACCAGTTCCACCCCATCCTCAAGGGTCCTCGGTCGGGGTCAGGTGCGAGACCGGGATCCTCAAGTGGAGGAGGAGAGAAGGGTCAAACATCGGCATGATGGCCTCGGCCGAGGATCCAGGGCACCTCCCGCTCAGCAGCAAAGCGGGAGAGGCCGTGGGTTACCCTTTGCTCCTCCACAACAGCAGCAGCAGCAACAGCCACGACAACAGCAACAACAGCAGCAACTGACTCCCCCATCCCTTCCGCCTACAGTGGAGGCCGCGGAGTGGAATCCCCGAGCCACTGATCACATGAACCGAGTGATCAGGGTCGATGATTCCATTTTGTTAGATCCTCATGTCGCCAATGCAGTGAGTGAGACACTGTATTTTGAGGCCGACATGGCGGCTCACAGGGGGCGTTCA